GAGTATAGACAGTATGTGTGCCAATTACATTAAGCTGTGAAAACATGGAGCTTGTTGTTACCTATAGACAAATTATTTTTCCCCCACAAGCTCTCCTATTCCCCTTGAAATACCAATTTACTTCAGAGAGAAATACAAAGAGAAATATAGAAATTAACATAGAAAGACAGAGAAATACAGTATTAACAGTTTCTATAAATAAAAGTGAGTCTAAATACATTTTTCTCCACTTATAGTTGCTTGATTTGGTAGTTACAAAAAGCACTTATGACATGTTTTAAGACACACAAGCATCCAGAGTGGACAGAAAGCTGCTGCAAACCTACTGTTGCCAGTAAAGTGGCTTAATGACCAAGGAGAAACAGATGTTTGTCACACAGGTAACTTGGCTCAACAGTCTTCTTGTGGAATATTTACATCTCCATTACACTGAGCTGAGACATGGAGTCAGAATGTCTCCAAAAATATCACTATGGCTTTGTTTGCTTTCTTTTTCCTCTCTAAAAGTGTAACCATATGCTAAGTTTAGTTGGTGTTTTTAGTTGTTTCCTAATTTGGAGTTTATTTAAATTGAAAAAAAATAAATTTGATTGCCAACCAGTAAGTCAGCAACAATTCTAGTCAAGTCAGCACAAACCAGGTACAAATTAGCATGAAAACTGTGAGGAACAGCCTCAGGTATATCAGTTTCAAGATCATATAGCACATCCATTGCCCAAGCAGTGTGAACATTTTAGATTGCCGTGGGATTTTGAATATTATTACCATAGAATAACACTTCTTTTACAAAATAAGACAATTTAGACAAAACCACTTTTAACTTCTTTTTATGCCTGTTCACAGGAAACTTTTCACCTTTTTAGAGTACTCCTTTGAAACATGCAACAGTTTAACAATGTTTTTCACATTAGACCTCCCAAAGCCAAAATTCACATTACTGAATTTTTTCACCCCACTATTTTCTGTCTCAAAATGCTCTTTGAAGCTTCAATTCACATTAATGTTCATAAAGAAAATGTAAAAACCCATAAACAGCAAAAGACCCCAGCCATACCTCACAAAGCAAATTTTTTTAAACCACAAGTCCTCAGTGCAGATACCCATACTGTGAGCAGTATAAATTAATGCCTCTGTGAACACCTGATGTGTATTGCCTACACACTTATATATAACGTCACCATCTCCTAACACCCCATCTCCCAGCTCTCTGTTCCATTAGTGACCAAAAATTATACTTTTTTACCCCTTCCTGACATCAGAAACTGAAAACCCAACCAATGACTCACTGGCCAGGAATCAAGAGTCAGACAAATTCATATCCCACCCTCCTGATCCAGCCTGAATAAGGAAGTTAATGACTTGAGGAGCAGCCCACCGAAGTCCCAAAACAAAAAAACTTTGTAGGAAGTGCCATGAGCCAGCAAACCATGTCCCAGTCCTTACAAAAAGCACTGGCTCTGCATGGGACGGTGCACACTGAGCCTGGGAGAGAAGCAATGAACGAATCCAGAGGCCACCTGAGTTTACAGGGATGACATGACATTCCTCTCCTTTGCTCAGAACGTCCCTGAGGTGCCACAGGAACTGCCCAGGAGGTACCAGAGAGCACTGGCCACTGACCAGCATTCCTCATGGTCGCTTCTGGAAGCGGGATGGTCCAGCATAGCCAGCTCTTGTGCCTCTGGACTGCCCTGCAATCAAGCAGTGCAGATTCTCCTGCCATTCACACAAATTAATTCAGAGAACGCTGCTTCCAGAATAACAAGGAGGGATGCACGAGTAGAGTGAGAGTTCTCTTGGCATCTGATTCAAATCACAGCTTCTTGCAAGGAACTATTTTTAAGTTTTGTATCAATCTGCTTGAGAAAGGTTCCTTCTGCTGCCTACAAATGTGCAAACTCCCCCTTAGAAGAAACACAGCTCAGGACAGCAAGATCCAGCCTTGCACTTTCAACCTAATCAAGACCAGCCATTTCACGACCAAAGCATTGCTCAACACACAACGTTTCTGCAGAGAGAGTTCTGGTGACCCCCACCTGAGCATCAGTGAGGGCCCCCATTACCTTCAAGGAGTCCTGTGCTTTCTTCACAAGATTACAGGTAGCACAGAGTTACCCGTAAAACAACCCACACTGAGGCAGCCTGACAGCTTCTGGAAGCCTTACTGATTTTTCCACTGCAGCAGGCATGGAACTGCTATAGGAGATTGAGGTAAAAGGGGAAAAAGGGCGATTCAGTAAGCATATGGATGCTGTGCATGACCTGACCAGTGAGGTGAGACCATTGTTTGCTGGGTTATCAGAAGTTCCTGTATGAAGGCATTGTTCAAGCTTAAGAGGTCTGTGAGAAAAAAAAAACCCACAAAAACAAGCAGCAGCAGCACACAATGGATGCAGATAAGCAACGTCTGAACAAAGCCCTGGGAGACAACGGGAAAACTTATTAGCCACAAGCATCCTATATCCTGCCTCCAATAAAGCAACACAGATGTTCTGCTAATGCAGGTCATGAAAAGACAAAAGAGCACTGAGCAGCTATTGAGCCTCCACAGGAGAGAGGGTCAGTGTTCCACAGCTGCTGGGCACAAAAACGTCCACAGAATAGGAACCAAAAGACTCTAAAAGGGTCTGAGAATGTATCATCTCTCTGGTGACCGGTAAGGGTCATCCTTACAGCCATGAGCCCATCCAGACCACTGCAAACTGGGCTTTGCAAGCCCAGCTCTGGCCCAGTTACAGAATGACGGCTGTTTGAGGGTTCAGTCCCCAGAGGGTGATCTCCGCTGGGAAATGTACACACACACTCAAGGTGCAGCACTGGGAAGCACAGCCCTCCGTGGCACAGGGAAACAGGGCTCTGCCCACTGACACCTGCTGGATCCATGGGTCTGATGGAAGTGCTCCAAGACCCACTTCCTTGTCTGCAAAGCGAGGTGCAGAAACAGCCCCATCACCTTCGGCCAAGTGCTTTGCACAGTCAGAGCTCTCCTCAAGTACTTCCCAAAGACAGAGCTGTCAGCACTCCATGAGGCATCCCTAAGTCCAAAAAACCTGTTCTCTGGAAAATTCAGGCCACTTAACCAGCACATACTGGGCATCACGCTGCTACTGTGCCAAGAGGAAACAGCAACCAGAACATTATTTAACAGCCAGTTACACAGGAAACACTCTGATCTGAAGATCACACCCTACTCCTTCCCCTGGGTTTTTTGCTTTTTTGTTTTCTTAACATGGTGTTCCCCATCCCATTCCCACTGCTGAAGTGGGAGAAGTATTTGCTCATACCAGTGGGTGGGACTGGAACCCCAGCTGCTCATGGACTTGGTCCTGCACATCATCCCAGCCCCAGCTGTGCAGAGAGGGGATGGCACAGAGAGCCTGGGCGTGCTGCAGGAACTGCACTGCCAACAGCACACGTGGCTAAGCGTCACACACCGGGTGACAGCACAGCTCAGAGCCCAGCCAAGCTGGGTGACTGCACAGGAGCACCTCCCCAAAATGCTGCAAACACCAGCAAGGGGCACAAAACTACCCTCCACAGTGTGACAACCCTCCTTTCCATTCACAAATAAACACTGTAAAATATGAACATACTAATCTCTTCATTAAAATTATCTGCACTACCACTGGCTACAATTCAAAAGTTTCAAGGGCATAAAGAACACGATTTTTTTTTCCCTCTTCAATAAAAAAAGTGTTTGTCTCTCACTGTCAGGAAACCAGCAATGTAAATGAACATTTGAAAGTCACTGTGTAACTACAAGTCATTTCATATAATCAGATTAAAAAGAGAAACCTGAATGCAAACAGAAAACATGAGCTTCTTGGAAAAAGAGAACAGAAATAAAAATATGAAGAAGCCACTAGCAGGAACAAAATGGGTAAACCAGTGTTAGTCCATATCCAGTCCTGGTCTGAACCTCTGGATATATAATTCTACCAGTTCTGTTACTCATTATGCTCATAAAAATAAACACAAATCTTTTCAAGCAACAGTTGAAATTTAAGAGAAAACTTTTAAGATTATAAAATTTTCCAGACTCTTTCTAGAAATTTTAACAGGCTGATAACTTTGGTCAAAACATTAAACACAATGTCAAGAATTCTCATTTGCTATCAGTTATCCATATGGTCTCAGAGTAAAAATAAATTTGAGGAGTCATAGATTTGGGAAGAAGAAAAAAAAAGTGGATCTTCCTTTACCCAAGAACCATAGTGAAGTGAGGCCAGAAACAGATGCCCACATCCCCCTCCTGTGAGCCCCCCCCACTCCTCACCCTGACTCACAGTGCAGATCTTTGGCATTTTTGAAAGTCACCCCTGGAACTCCTGCAGGGACAAGCAACCAAGAGCCATTTACTGCCTCCAAAACAGACTCTGAAAGGATTAGCACCAACCTCAAGACTTAGCCATAGCTCCAACAGGCCTGGCAAAGCCATTGAGTTCGTGTGTCCCTAGCAGAAGGCATTTCCCAATGGTCATTCCTGGAAATGTTCTCCAAATATTTTGGCTGGTCCTCATCTACAGGACAATCTTAAAGTGTATTTGCAACTCTGTCTCGGGGAAATACATGTAAAGTTGATTCATTATCTTAAAATGCTGCTTTCATTTCTGCTCATTAAAAGCACATTTCACATCCCTGCACCAAATGCACAGCTCATCTGATCTGGACACTCAAAACTGTGTTTCAGTTCTCTCTACTCTTCGTATTTCATTTGCTGCCCACAATCTGTTTCATTCTCTGTTTCAGGAACACCTATATGAGACCAGAGCTACCACTGAAAAATGCCCTGAATAAAATCCTCTCTCCCTGCAATGCCTGGCACTCCAGGCAATCACACCCGATGTCAGACTCAGCCTGGATTTCAGGAGCTGCATCCTCCCTGCAGACACAGAGCAATAAACAGCTGTTCTGCACATCCCACACCCCTGCACACCGAGCCACTCGGAAGGGAAAGAAAAGCAAGGAAGCTTAGGTAATGCACGCGTTACAGTCCTCACCTTTAGGGAGTCAAAGCAGGCAATAACTCGACCATTTTCCACATGGCAACTCCGTGACGGATGGGCGAACTTGCACTCTGCATCAGACCGAGAACAAGTCCCTCTCTGAAACTCTCGACACACTTCTAACGTCAGCCATTTTGTATCACGAACCAGGGAAACGTTTACAGCCATATTAAAAAACAAAAATTAAAATGCAAGCAATCGCACCCTTCCTCAGGGTAATATTTACTGCTGATCTTCTTTTTTCTTCTTTTTTTTTTTAAAAAAAGGGTAAAAAAGTGAATTCAAGTTAAACGTGAAGAAATAACTAACTTGTTGCTTTGGTAGAACTCCTATTCATCAGCACTTAGGTTTTCATTTAAGTCAAATCGTGTTTCTTTAAACAAGAATTAAACATAAAGCCAATCATAAAATAGAAATCTTATCAGAACAACTGAAAATCAAATTAGAGGCCAGCTCCTAAAAGTGCAATTGTAGAAGTTAAAATACAAGTGTTATATTTTGTGCCACTGCCAAAGTTACTTGCAAATAACTGGCAGACTTTCAAAAGAATTCTGTGCTCTCCAGTTAATGGTTTCAATTATTCTTGCAAAAAGCATATGCTGCTGGCAGCACTTCAGTTTGTGGAATGGTCTCGGTCCTTGGGGAGAAAACTTCGGGTTTGCTTTTTTCCTTCTATTTCTTGCTTCTAAAAATTATGGTTCACGAGCATCAAAACAGGCAAAAGGATGTCTGATTTTTTTTTTTCCTCTTTCTTTTCTTTTAAATATTTGCTACATAGTCGGGGGAAGGAAAAAAAAATAAAATGGCTGAGCAAACTGCGTGTAAATGGGGAGTGAAAAAAAAAAAAAACAACCCAAAAAAAAAACCGGGCAAGGCTGGAGGAGCCGCCGTCAGGGCACGGACCGCAAGCAACGCCGAATTAAACAGAGAGGGGGGCGAGGGGCAGAGAGAGGCAGCCCTAGACAGAAATCCAAGCAGCGGTGGCTTCAGGAAAGGCACTTTTCAGCAACCTGCAGGAAAAAGAGAAATAGGATCAGCCAGGAGCCGGCGGCCCCGCTCGGGCGGGCGGGCGCGGGGCGGCG